TCACCCCCCCTCGGAGGACCTGAGTTAGAACCCCTATATAATACCTACTGATTGGTCTCCTGGATTTAAGATAAAGATCCAGTTAAAGATCCAGAAATACACACACACACACACATATCTATATACTAATTATATGTATAACTGTGCAAAAGCTAATACTCCTATAAAAAGTATTTTATATAAAATAATAAATGTCTAGAAACGTGTTAAAAAAAAATATTGCACTATTATACATATTGCACTTTCGTACTCCTTTCCCAAAAAAATTAACCTTAATCTAATCTGTCTAATGAAATATGCTACCGTATATGATGGGTTAGTTAGGAGTTAGGGATACCCATCAATTTGACGAGTATCCGGAGAAATAGGCATACGAAATACAGAATTTCAAAATTAGAAGTTTGAGGAGGAATTGAATTTGGATATATATTCGTATCATTTTATTAATAAAAGTTAGCAAAAATTGCTAGGAAATAATAATAATTGTTTTCTAATTAATTTTTCTCGTAAAATCCAAATTCCCGTCAAATTGACGGGTCCCGTAAATCTAGTGTTAATTATGATTGTCAGTTACGGTTCTTTTTGACGCGCGTGTTGTCCGCGTTGTTTAGGTGATTTCAAAAGACCCATCCTTTTGCGGTGAACGTGCTTCTTGATTATACTATTTACGTGCATACCGTGCACGTATCAACGACGAGGTGAACAAGCCCTTTCAGGTAGCTGGTTCTATTCTTTTATATTATCCGAAATGTTAGGGGGAATAACCTGATTGCACAGTCCAGAATGTGCATTGCGATGTTTTTCTGCAGCGTGTGCACTTCCGCTTTCTTTTTAGGGCAATGCGGTGCTTTTTTTGCAGCGCGTGCACTTTCGTCTTGTTGAGGAAATGATCAAAACGTCATTGAAGATATTTCGACATCGTTATTAAAATAGTTATACTATAACACTAATATTTTTAAATATGTTATTTTATAAATAAACTATTTTATAGGACTATTATGGTTTTTATACAGTTTTATTATTTTATAAATACAAAACAAGTTCAGTAGGATTCAAAAGAAAGCAGACAAGAAAGACATATGGTTAAAGATATTAACTGTTAATTGATTTTTACTAAAGCGATATAAAAAATGCTTTAAAACTATCAATGTGGGAAACTGAGAATACACATATGCAAATACGTATGCAAATCATGTACATTATTCAAGCATGAATTTTACCTTTTTAACAGAGTTTCATGATGATCAAGGTTTCTTTTCTGATGACATTGCTACAGCTGTTTCACATTTTGGTGGAAGCGTCCGAGCAAACTCCATGCCCTCAATACTTTACATATATAATTAATCCTTCAACAAACGAAGTAATGGGACAAATCCAAATTCCGTCTCCGCCAAGAAATGTCGAACTCAACTTGAGAGTAGGTTTAAGCATTGCCGTTGCACTACCCACGGTAAACATGTGTGTGTGTGTTATATTCCTGTAATTAATAACGTTTATTATTCTCAATAATATCTTTAATATTTACTTAATTTACTTAATAACACCTTTACTTTCTCAATACCTAATAACACCTCTTTACCTAAACTTTACCTTTAACTTTACATATGGATTTCATATGAAGTGATCAAGCTAAAAAAAATTTTTTCTCCAATTATATTTAAACTCGGGGCATTTGTAGCCCTATTAGGTGGTAATATTTGGTAGAAAAATTTTTCCATTTGCTCCAATATTTGAGGAGGGGGAGGGGGTGAAAGTTTTGGGGGCCCGTTTCATTAAACAATTTTTTTCAGATAATTAAATGAATAAAAAAAATTTATGAATATCAGTTTCGATATGTTTTTTTATGCCCTTTCGATTGGTAAAATGCATTTAAAAAAAAAAAAATTTTGATTCAAAAAACTCAAAGTTAAAAATAAAAATGACTTTTTTTGGAAGAAAGACACGATTTTTTTTATTTTTTATTTTTTTAAATGAAAGCTGAGATTTTTTCCTATAAGAACATATAGTTCCGAAAATGGGCCTAGAATGTTAAATTCATGAAAATTAGAGTTTATCTGCTGACTCGAGCGCCGCGGACAAGAGCGCGAGGCTGCAGTTGACTGTCTAGTATAAGGAGGCGAACGTTAACGCTCTCTGCATTTAACAGGGTTGAGACTGTCATTTTGTGAATGCCTGCATTACGCTAACGCATAAATTTGGAAAAAATTTTGAAACTTGAAACCTAAATAAATAAAAATTTATAATTTTTAAAACGTAAAATCCTTGAGAAAGATAAATAGTGTACTTGAGCTGAAAAAGTGAATTTATAATTATATCTGAAGTCGTTAAATACTTACATCCCTTTAAGTAATGTCCTTCAGTTTTCGCTGTTTTCTTTGTCTTTTTTTACTTTTTGGGCAATAATCACTTT